AACTCATGTGTAAAGCTAATAACATAGCACTGATGAAACATGTAAGATATATATATATTTATATAACTCATGTGTAAAGCTAATAACATAGCACTGATGAAACATGTAAGATATATATATATTTATATAACTCATGTGTAAAGGTAATAACATAGCACTGATGAAACATGTAAGATATATATATATTTATATAACTCATGTGTAAAGGTAATAATATAGCACTGATCAAACATGTAATTCTTGTAATTAAAATTTTTCATGAAATAGAAATCATGCGAGAAAACATTTAGTAATGAATCTTCAATACTGAGAGAACCTTTTAACAACTAATTTATAAATTCACATTTAGTAATAAATCTTCAATACTGATAGAACCTTTTAACAACTAATTTATAAATTCACATTTAGTAATAAATCTTCAACTGGAGAAACTAAACAACTAATTCATTAGTTCACATTTAGTAATAAATCTTCAATACTGAGAGAACCTTTTAACAACTAATTTATAAATTCACATTTAGTAATGAATCTTCAATACTGATAGAACCTTTTAACAACTAATTTATAAATTCACATTTAGTAATAAATCTTCAATACTGATAGAACCTTTTAACAACTAATTTATAAATTCACATTTAGTAATAAATCTTCAATACTGATAGAACCTTTTAACAACTAATTTATTAGTTTCACTTTACAGAGAACAGCAAGAAATTCAACCTACTCTAACACAGCCATGTTAAATGGATGTTGTAGATTTCCAAGATATTCTCCGATACTTTGTTTGCCAAGACCTTTCCGAGAAATTAAAAAATGTGCTACTGCTTTTGGACTGGCTTCTAAGTAGTTATGTCCAATCAAGTATTGGATCCCCTTCTCTGGTTTCTTGTTAAAAAGGTTCAAGCCAACCCTGTACTGCCGTTTTCTGTGAGCTTCAGAGATCTGTGAAAGAAATAAATAATACCAATTGCATTAAGAATCTTTCATCTTAGAGCTAAGTTAACATATTTTCAATAAATCTCGCATATTAGTTATACTTGTTACACTTCCATGTTTTTATTACTTACAATAAATTAAAAACCCCACAAATATGATGATACTGCTAAATAATAACTAAAATCTTTCTATAACAATATCTTATAACCACTGTAAATACATAACATTAACAAGTATCACTGAGCTCCATCTGTTGCAATAATTCAAGATAAATCCATTACACTAACGAGTATAGCCATCAAGATAAATCCATTACACTAACGAGTATAGCCGTCAAGATAAATCCATTACATTAACGAGTATAGCCGTCAAGATAAATCCATTACACTAACGAGTATAGCCGTCAAGATAAATCCATTACACTAACGAGTATAGCCGTCAAGATAAATCCATTACACTAACGAGTATAGCCGTCAAGATAAATCCATTATATTAACGAGTGACCATATTCTTTTAAACATTTTCCCCATCTCTTCGGACAAACTTCTGTTTGTTTGTTATGGATTTCACGCTAAGCTACACGAGGGCTATCTGCGTTAGCCGTCCCTAATTTAGCAGTGTAAGACTAGAGGGAAGGCAGCTAGTCATCACCACCCACCGCCAAATCTTGGGCTACTCTTTTACCAATGAATAGTGGGATTGGCCGTCACATTATAACGCCCCCACGGCCAAAAGGGCGAGCATGTTTGGTGTGTCGGGGATTCGAACCCGCGATCCACAGATTGCGAGGTGAGCCCCCTAACCACCTGGCCAAAATTCTGCAAGTTCCAGACCTGCATACGTAGACAAATGTTACACTGATAAACTAACCGACACAACTTTACTTCTGATCTGGTTATAAAATGTTACACTGATAAACTAACCGACACAACTTTACTTCTGATCTGGTTATAAAATGTTACACTGATATACCTAACCGACACAACTTTACTTCTGATCTGGTTATAAAATGTTACACTGATATACCTAACCAATACAACAACTTTACTTCTGATCTGGTTATAAAATGTTACACTGATAAACTAACCGATACAACAACTTTACTTCTGATCTGGTTATAAAATGTTACACTGATAAACTAACCGACACAACTTTACTTCTGATCTGGTTATAAAATGTTACATTGATATACCTAACTGACACAACTTTACTTCTGATCTGGTTATAAAAACTTTACAAGATACTTTAAATTATGGTAAAAATATCTTCAAAGAGATTGAAACATGACTTCACCCAATAAATTGTTGTATTTGTAGAACCTGATCTAATCTGTCATCAAATATAAAGAATTAGATAATTATCAAAAGAATTTTCCAAGGTCATTGCTGTAAATGATTGTAGTAATGATGTAACCAACTCAACCTACCTTATATGGATGAAAAACAGACCGAGTATCATGAGGAGTCCTACAACCTAAGGTATGGGCTTCTTCTGGGGGACATTCTACAGTTTCTAACACACTTATTGGTAATGGTGTGGAGTAGTCAAAACCACCCAAGTGTGTGTTATTTTCTGACAAATTGTTAGTTCGCTTGTCTTCTAACTGAGCACCAGGTGGCTGCTCTTCAGCCATTGCACGAGACTTCCTTTTCCAGACAGGAGAAGGTGGTTCTGGAGAAGATTTTTTATTGGGGACTTTTCCTATTTCTCCTTTTGAATGTTCAATGTACTGAATGTTTGGCCGAGTCATTTCACATCCCTCACCACTATTGGAGCATAAGGTGGAGGACTGGACCGACTTCGCACAAGAGTTAATCATATTGGCTTGGTCTTTAAATTCTCGGATTGTAACGGAAGATGTCCGTTTAGGCACCTTTGGTGGGATTCTCCTTTTACCGAGAGTAATATCACTGGACCTCAAAGGTGTCCACTGACGGGTGTCTCTCTGAAGTCCTTCTGTCACTGCTGATGACTCAAGATTTCCAAGCAACTGGTGATCCATGACAGCCAAAGGTGTCCACTGACGGGTGTCTCTCTGAAGTTCTTCTGTCATTGCTGATGACTCAAGATTTCCAAGCAACTGGTGATCCATGACAGCTACAGAATCCTCACCTATTCCACTCTAGATTTGAAACACACAGTTATTATCATACTTACACCTCACTAGTGCTTTTTGTGTTTGTTAAAACTGTATTAATTTCTATCAAGAAACACAAATGAACAAAGTTGTATATAATTTTCTGAATATTTCAATATCAAACAATGAATATATTACTCTTTAAGGCTGACAGTACTTTTTTGATCTGAGCTTAAATAATGAAGAAAGAAAAAGACTGAATTATATTCTGAAAAAAAAATTATTTTTTGTGCATCACAAAATCACACCTTCACATGTTTATCTCATTATGAATGACACCTTCACATGGTTGTCTCATTATAAATGACACCTTCACAGGTTTGTCTCA